ATATGATAAGAAGTGATATTATTTTTTATGCGAAAGTAGTATGCGTTACTAATATTTATGATTATTCGACATATTAGGCATACAAGCGTTCATTAATTGCATAAAATTGTTCCAAAGATAACGTTCGATATTTCTTTAAGAGACAGNAGATAAATCCTTATGTGTTCAGTATTATAATTTTAATTTTATGTCTTTCTTATTTATTATTATAAAAAGTGATATTATTTTCTTAGTTGTATGCAAAATTAGGATGCGTATATTAATATTTGTGATTATTCGACTTATTAGACATACAAGCGTCTACTACTAGTTGCATAAGATTGTTCAAAAGATGACCTTTAATACTTCTTTAAGATACAGAAGATAGATTTTTATGTGTTCAGTAATTTTTATTTTATTTTAATGTTAAATGCTTTTTGTATGAACATTATGCATATCTTATATGTATATCTTATAATAGAAAAGANTGGATGGCATCAATGATTAGTTAAATAAGTTTTTAAATAAATATGTAATGTTATTTTTTTTAGATCTTTATTATTTNTTTACAATACTATATAATTTCTTTTTGAAACTTTGCTTAACAGTTTTTATATATAACATAGTTTCTGTGCAAATACATGCAATTCAATATTGCAAACATTATAAGTCAATTTAGATTCATACTGGTATTACGAAAAACTCGATCCCATTGCCACTCAACTAGGCCTTCGTCACTATTGACATAATCTCGAAGTATATTTCTTAACTTTATTACTGCTCTTGCAGAATTATTAGAACTAATTCTACGCAACTCTTGTATATGATTTAAAGTACCTTCATTCCTCCAAGCACCAGATTGAAACATTCTATTTNCTTCATGATCCAACAAATTATTTGGACAATAACGTCCACCAATACNTCCTTCCTGTGTCAGAAGGAAATTATGAAGACATACTAAAGCCTTTACTATATTACTCCAGCATTAGCAGGAGAAAAACACATAGAACGTCGCAACACTCTCCATTTAGTAGTAAGTACACCAAAAGAATTTTCAATTACTCTACGTGCCCTACAAAGTCTATAATTGAAAATTCGCTCACGTTCACATAAATTTTTCTTTGAGTATGGCCGCATCATGTATGTTTTCAATGGAAAGGCATCGTCNGCCACAAAAAAATGTGGAAACATTATATTTGAGTTGGGAAGCAAACGTGGCAATGGCAGATCAACAGAACCTTNTTCTAGAGCAGAACCAAGTGCAGATTCAGCCCATATGCCTCCATCACTCATAGAACCTGTAAATATAAAATCAAATGTTAATTAAAATATATAAAAAAGTTATTTTCTTTTCACTTAACATACTATAATCTCCTATATCAACCCAAGTAAATTTATACTCAGCATCAGCGATAGCCATTAACACTATGCTGAAAAATTGTTTGTAATTGTAATATAAACTTCCTGTTTTAGGAGGGCATTGGATTCGAATATGCTTTCCGTCTACTGCACCNATGCAATTTGGAAGATTCCAAATTTTATAAAAATCTTCAGCAATGCTCCTCCATGATTCTGCTNTTGGCTTGGGAAGATAAATTGGTTGAAGTACCCAGCAAACAATTTCTGACTGCGCAGACCTTGGCAACAGAAACTGTGTGCAGAAACGCTACAGTACGGAAACATGCTTTGGTGCTGCCAAAACTGTTAGCACATAGAGACAAAAAACGCAACAACTCTGTTAGCACATACAT